TTTGGGTACTACTTCCCAAAGGGCAGAATTAACTGCCCTGGCCAGAGCTCTAACCCTGGCAAAAGACAAAACTGTCATTTACACTGACTCTAATATGCATTTCACACTTTATTGTCCCACTCTGCTATCTGGAAGGAAAGGGGATTCCTAACTACAAGAGGAACTCCCATTATCAATGCTGCTATAATAGCCCATGTTTTAGAGGCTTCATGCCTTCCTTCCCAGGTGGGCATTAGTCATTGCAAAGCCCACCAAACTGACTCTTCATAATTAAACTGAGCAGATACAGAGGCCAAGTGAGCAGCCCTCCAAACTGCACCTCAATTGACCATGTACCCCCTTACTTCAGCTTCCTCCCCCTCACTAAACTCTCTCTTCCTCCTTCTGAAGTTAAAACTCTTCCCTATTTACATACACTTTTTCATCCTAATCTTCATGTTCTTTACACCTTTCTCCACCAATCGCTTCCCTATCTCCATGAGACATACAATAACTTAAACAGATTAACCAATCCTGCTCAATTTGCAGCACACAACCCCAGCTCCAATATTAGACCCTCCCTTTCCTACCCATCAAGCCAGGAGATGCCTCCCTGCCATAGATTGTCAAGTGGACTTCACACATATGCCTCCAGTAAAGAGGATAAAGTACCTCCTGGTTTTGGTAGACACCTTCACAGTATGGGTGGAGGCCTTCCCTATGACCAATAAAAAGGCCTCCACAGTGACAATGATTTTGGTCTCAGATATCATCCCACAGTTTGGTTCCCAGCCTCCATCCAGTCACACAATGGGCCTGAGTTTGTTTCCTCTATTTCCAAAACATTGTCACAAGCCTTAAATATTCACTGGAGATTTCACATTCCCTATCACTCTCAATCTTCAGGTAAAGTTGAGGGTGCCATTCACACACTAAAGGATACTCTCACCAACTCTCCCTTGAGCTCCACCCAGATTGGACAAAGCTCCTACTCCCTGTCCTTCTCTGCCTCCGGGCCCTTCCAAAAAGACCATCATGCTCAGCCCCTTTGAGCTCCTCTCTGGCCATCCACTCCTCCCTATTACCCTTCAACCAGAACCTCTAACATTTCTCTCACTCTCCTCAATCCTCTCTCACTATCTTCACTCTCTCCTTTGGTCTCATGCTCATTAGTTACCACAGCCCTCTGACACCACCAAATAACTCCCTGCTCCAAATGGGAGATTTGGTTTATCTAAAAAGTACAGCCACACCTGGCCACCTACAAGAAAAGTGGAGAGGTCCATTTAAGGTTATCCTCACCACCCCACAGCTGTTAACTAGCAAGATTTCCCTCCTGGTACATGTTCAAATCTAAAAGTGGCAGCCCCACAAAAGACCTACCAATCTCTTCTTACACAACCAACAAAAATAAAGCTCTCCTGCCTCCCAAGATCCTAGAAGACAGAGACACACCCACGGAGACTCCCGGGCATAGGCAGAGCCTATGCTTAGGGACCTGCATCTCGCCTACTCACTCTATACTTCTCCCCTCCCATTCTTTCCTGTCAGTTCCTGCCCACACTTTTACTCTTTCCTATATGCCCTCTACTCTGAGATTTACTCTTCCCACCTCCCAACACAATCAGCCTCCCTCCCTTCTCATACCTTCTTTACCTCTGCTTCATAGATTGGATAGCTGACCTTCACCTCCAAGTACTCTCTCAGACTTTACTCCTGAATAAATTCTATTCATCTTTCCAACATTCTCTTTGCCTTATTGCAAACGTGCCACCTATGCTTTCACTCCATCCTTTTCGTGAGAAATTCTTGTCCTTGTCCCTTCTCTCCTAAGTACAACTGTGGGCAACTTCTCCCCCTGAGTGGAGATGGGCCCATGGCACAGCTCTCTGTTTTGGAAAACTTGCCCTGTGTGCCTTACTCATTGTGCTCTTCTTTCTTATGACTTGGACCTTTGCAAGCGGGGCCTCCCCCGCCCGCCCATTGCTGGCCATTTACAGCTATACCATCATGCAAAAGGCATACTATAGCACCACCACTTTATGCCAACATCTTAATCAAAAATATTGGAAGGAATCAGCAAAGGCGACCATGCCAGCTACTGCTGCCGGCAGGAGGGGCAACAGGATGCTGGAACTTACCTCTCACAGTTTGGTATATCTGATGGAGGTGGAGTCCAGATG